CACGACCATTGATTACACATATGTGCGTAATTGGGGCTCAAAAGGTTAAGAGTTGTAGCCAATCATGGTAGAAAATAAATATTACATAGCTGTGAAGAGCTGTTGCTGTGTTTACCTGGACTGGTACATCTCAATTTTAATTTTTCTGTCATTTAGTCTCTACCAAATTCTCAATGAGGATGGCAGGTGGATGAGCTTATTATCAGAAGCAATTTTGTGTTAAAAATGTTAGACTTTTATAGAAAATTATTTGAAAGTAATGAGCACGTGAAAAATTTAGGTGCACGGAAGAACTTTTTGGAATGAACTTTTCAGGAGGCACTGGGGTTTCATTGAGGGCAGCACAAATGGCGAATTGACCACCTGTGAACAGAGCTTTGCCCAGCTGTTTCATCAATATTAATTTTATATAGCAATGGTGTTCTCAAGCTATTTTTATGAGACTTGCCAATATTCTGCCTGAATGTCATATCCTAATGCTCTAGTGTTAAAACCCTACTGTAGGAAGGCTTATTTTCATTGGCAGTTGGCTATTGCTATCACGATTTTATGGCATTTTAAGGTAACACTATATATTTGTTAGGGATATAAGTACCTAGGTGAATCGTCCTGAGCTTCCCCAGCTAACAACAGTGCTGTAGATGACAATGCTGCCATCGTGTGATTCATATGATTGGTTAAGTGGAGAGGATGGTGTGTGCTTGTGTTGTGGAATTCAACTTCTATTGATGATATCTCATCTTCTGTATGACATCGCACTATGCCAACTGAATTCCAAACCTAGAAAAGAGAATTTGTCAGTTTATTCTTTACTAACTGTGTTAAGTGAATGCTAGCAAGTGCTGGAATAGCTACAGGNGTGGTTCTAACTTTTAAGTCTGTAGCTGAAACCCTACTGTTTGGCCATTCAAATGAAAGCTATTGAGCAGTATTTTCATGTGGTATTGTTTATTATGCTGTACAAGGTTACCCTCCTAAGAATCTCATTATAGGTAATGTCAACGACATACCATGAACCTGTGCATAAGATGGACTGGGGTTGAGCTCGGTTGGAATGCACTCTGGAGGACTGGTACAAAGGGAGTGTGGATCACTTCCTGTAGTTGAAAGTTAAAAAATTGAATCAATGAATGTGATTTCATCCTTACATGTATTCCAAAGGCCCAGTGCACAAGGTTTATGATTTTGTTAGGCAAAGAGCTTAAAGGCTTAAAATGCTGCATTCCGTGCTTCCTGTCACAGTGTTGGGTCACAAGATTGACATCAGACAGAAATACTGAAATAATGCTTGGCTTCAATAGTATTATCCATTTACCCAATTATAACCCAATCTCTGACAAAATACAATTGCACCTTTCTCCACCTCTCTCCTCTCTGGGACGAAAATGTGTGGCNGTTCTAACTTTTAAGTCTGTAGCTGAAACCCTACTGTTTGGCCATTCAAATGAAAGCTATTGAGCAGTATTTTCATGTGGTATTGTTTATTATGCTGTACAAGGTTACCCTCCTAAGAATCTCATTATAGGTAATGTCAACGACATACCATGAACCTGTGCATAAGATGGACTGGGGTTGAGCTTGGCTGGAATGCACTCTGGAGGACTGGTACAAAGGGAGTGTGGATCACTTCCTGTAGTTGAAAGTGAGTTAAAAAATTGAATCAATGAATGTGATTTCATCCTTACATGTATTCCAAAGGCCCAGTGCACAAGCTTTATGATTTTGTTAGGCAAAGAGCTTAAAGGCTTAAAATGCTGCATTCCATGCTTCCTGTCACAGTGTTGGGTCACAAGATTGACATCAGACAGAAATACTGAAATAATGCTTGGCTTCAATATTATTATCCATTTACCCAATTATGACCCAATCTCTGACAAAATACAATTGCACCTCTCTCCACCTCTCTCCTCTTTGGGACGAAAATGTGTGGCTGTTGTAGAGAGGAGGCCATTAGTAGAGGTTGACTGTACTCGTTACAATTCCAACAAAATTCAGAAACTAAACAGTAATGACCAAAATCAGATAGACTTCACCACAAATGCAAACTTCATTCTATTGTATTAGGGTTGCAGATAAGTCATAAAACGTAAAGCAAGGTGCCACTAAGGCATTGCAGGGTGTCTAAGACAGCCTGCAAGTTTGATGAAAATTGTAACTTCTCTAAATGTAACAAAGAGAACACAGAATGCAGGAACAATGCACCTATTCTTCATTGCTACGTGCACACTGATCTTCCTGTCCAGTAACAGGTAGTTACCTTTGTGGGAGCTTTTGCGGCAGACACTTCACTAGCATTATCACCATCATTGTCTACATCACCAAAGTCTAACGGAGCTGCTAAGGCTGCCTTGAGTTTTCGGATATCTGAGAGCAAATGAAAAAATTACTCAGCTTACAAATTAAAGCTCTTTAAGAACAGTTTAACATGGTAAGAACCTGGTATTGTACATATTGATTTCTTAATTAGCTTTTAAACATAATATTTAGATCTTGTAATTTTTATGTTTAAGTGTCCGCATTTAGTGGTTTCATGGTTGCTTTATGCCACTGAAACCAGATAAGCCCCGACCATTGGGCCACTTGGCTCGTTTGCAGACTTTACCTTACCTCTTCTCACTTGTTACCTACTCTCTAACCTTAACCATAAAAATGTTTTGGTAACTGCATCTATCAATCAAGAGTTTTATATTATTTACCTGAACTTTCCTCTCATCAGACTTTTCTCACCTTTGAACTCGTCATCTTCATCATCCTCAGCCTCCTCGTCAATCCAAGCATTGGACTTGTTTCTTGTTTTTTTCTTTCCAACAATAAGCTGTTCATCATCACTGTCGGCATCCATGGCAGCCATCATAAGGCTGTCATCCATTGAATTATTGCCAGTAACAGTGCGATTAGAGCTTTTGGCCTTTACATGTGGTAAAAAATGAATTAATATTATTCTAAGCTCACAAGCTTATGAGCTTAGGTTTGTATCCTGTGAGGGCAGCCCATCTAAGAGAAGGAAAAGTTTGATTCTAAACTTGGGTAGATGGCCACCCATTAGCCTTGGCTGGCAACCATCTAGGGGAAGGAAAACCATCACAGAAAAACTACCCCCACACCAGGTTGGGGGTTAGATAAAGGGCCAATAACCCCCTCTCGTAAAAACACATTTTATTATTACAGAAACTGAAACTGGCCAAATGCAATGCTGTTGGACTCATGTTTCTAAAGGAACTAAGAAGCCTAGAGAAGAAGAAGAAGCTTACAGAGTTGTGGGAAAAATGTGAGCTGACTAACAAAACTTGCACTAAAAAGTACTGACATCAGGTTACAATAGAGTTTGAACATCTTACTTCATCTTTTGGTATGACATTTTCACAAACACCAAATTGACCCTACAAAAGTAACATAATACTGATTGTTAATGCAAAAATCAATAACAAAATGACTTTTACTTCCTAGCCATGCTTGCTACAAAGAGAAAAGAGTTACCCATTGTAGAATACATGTGTCTTCATGATTTTTACACATTAAAAAGAAAGATTAGGGATTATGTGTACTAAAGACATCCATGGTGGAGTGTCGATCAATACCCTTGATTGAAACCTCAAGCGACACTTGATAAATACTCGATTGACACGTCGGTTGACACTCAATTGACACTCTCTCAACATCTATGTCAAATGTCGGTCAAGAGTCAACTAAATTTCACAGACACGCCATCAAGTCACGTGTTGATCGATACCTACATATGAGTCGGTTGACACTCAGCCATATATCGACCCACACTCAATTGAGTATCGATGGGGCGTCAGTCTAGATGTTGGTGAAGTGTCGATCAAGGTATTGATAGAGTGTTGATCAAAGGTCAATAAAGGGCATCGATCAACACTCAACCATGGATTCCTTTTACACATGAGCCAAGATTTAGTTAGTTCATCTCTAACCATTACCTGATTATCAGTGTAGGCAATTTCATTGTTCCCCTTTGGATTCCACACCAAACCACAGATTGTCAGCCCACTCTCATGGTTTATCCTAAGAAACAAAATAAAACCAGTCAGGAGGGGGGATTGGGCAATATTCTAGGGTATGAACTTTTTTCTCACTTTTGTCCATGATTTTTGTCGCTGGCAATAGCTTGTGCAGGAATTCTTTTTTTCACATCAAAAAACAAAATAATGATACAAACTGTAGTAGAAAGCACTTGCTCGATTTTCCCTATAGCTCCAATTACACAATTTGTTTTTTCTAAAGTATTTGCTATTTAGGAATTTGCTTTGGGGGTAATTGCCTACCCCTGCCACACCCNACCCACCTCGAAAAATACTTTATCTTTTTTCACTTACCTTTCAATCACCATTTGCGAAGACACCTTCCAAATAAACATTTCCCCATTGATACTGGCAGATGCGAGGTAATTACCACAGGGTGACCATGCTACTAAGGATACTAACTGCGTGAATAGGAAACACAACCATTTCAATATCATGAGACTATTAACACTAACTGTTCTGAAGTATAGAAAACACTATAATTCTAATAGCAAGCAAGCACTTGCTTGTTTATTATGGATAATAAACAAGCACTTGCCCCCTCCCATACATTTCATGGATCATGTGTACCAAAGGTATCTGCTGTCAAGTGTTGATTGACACTCAATTGACATCTCAATTGACACTTGGTCGACACTCTTTCAACAGTCAGTCAATAATCTGCCAAGTGTCAACCCACTCATATGCATCAATCAAAAATTAGTTGACTCTCAACTGACTGTAGACCAATATGCCAATTGAATGTTGATCAAGTGTCAACTGAGGTGTCGATGGAGTGTTGACTGAGTGTCAATCAAGGGCCCATCAAGGGTACCGATCGAGGGTTATTAATCAACACAGGACCACAGATGCCTTTAGAACATGTGATCCCATTTCTTTGTAAAAACTGGCAAGTTTGGAGAAAATCAATACCTCGCTGTGACCATCTTTTTCCATGTTAAAAACATTCCTCCAAGTTTCCTGTTCATAGACCTAAAATGAGAAACAACCAATATTCATTCAGCCAATGACAAACAAAGAAGCGTAATGTGACATGTAATGCATAAATCAGTCACTGTAAAATGTTTGCAATCACATGATAACGATATTTTCGTACCTTGATACTTTTCTCCACAGGAACAGCTAAATACTTAAGTTCCAGAAAAGAGAGAAGATAGTTTAAGATGATTAATTTTACATCAGTCTAGCAATAACCACTGAAAAAGTATTACCCCAGGCTATAATTTCTCATCCCAAAGGAAAAAAAAGTTTGAGGCCAGTACTTATTTCTGACCAGGAGTATTCATAATCCCCCTGGTGGGGATGCTAGTAAATTACAGGGTCATTCCCCCAGCATTCTATTTGCTAGTGTCGACAAGTGTTATTTTGCACAAATGGGAGGAGAGAGTTGAGACAATGAGGGTAGCGAATCTTGGCCATGAACAACATCATTGCCCTGGTCAAGACTCAAACGAAGATCACTCTATCTGCATGGAGTGCAACACACTAACTATAGGCCAACATACTTTGTGTTATCTCAAAGAACATTGGTTATGCATCAACACAAGAGTCACACATACTTTGCCATTGCCTGGCTGCCAGGCAAGACGACACAGAGTCTTTGAGATCCTAAGGAAGGCAAAATAACAATAAAATAATAATTAGAATTATTATGATACAATTATTAATATTTTTTCATAAACTTTACAGATGCAAGTTATGCCAACTGAATCATCGTTGACCCAACCCTGATTGTTGTTACCACATAATATACTCCTTTTGAGTTAAATATATCAGTGCAGGTTAGTGATAATGTGGTTTATTTCTCAAAGCATACTCAAATGACAATACAAGCTTGTGGCTTAACATCATTAAATATTGTGGAAACATCAAGCAAGATCAAAACGTCCTACAGACCAACCAGCCAATGGACTGACTGATCAACTGTCTGACCAACTGATTCACCAACTGACTGACCAACAGGCCAGTCAA